CCAACACGGCTACCTGCTGTGCTAATCCTCAGAGCCAATATCATCATCCCCAATTGTTGGTTCATGAGTTTGCTCAGCTGTCGGTTGGGACACACGGTTTGTGTGGCACAGCAGAGCTCAGTCCTGCTTCCCCAGCACACCCCACAGCCACTTCCCAGCAGCAGGAGGGAGTTGGGGTGCTCACCCCAGCCAGCCCCACGCTGTCAGCAGCTGTTTCCCAGCACTAAGAACAGCGTTGGTACCATTAATCACGAGTGTTTCCTCTAAACAAACAAACACGGCTTCACCTTCATCTTCTCTCTGTGGAAGGCACCCCTGTGAGTGTCAGTGCAGCAGAACCCATCACACACCAGGGCAGAAAACAGCACAGACAGCAAATCCAGGGGTGGGCAGAAGGTCACAAGTGATGCAGAACATCAATGGCCCATTTCATGTGGGATTTGCTCCTGACTCATTCCAGGTGGAGATGTGGTGGCACAATGGGAGCCCCACACTCAGTCACAAGGGAAAACTCTCCAAGCCCTCCTGGCAAGAGGCTGGTTAATACAATGACCCTTGAGGGTTCCTTCCTCTAGCAAACTCACATCCTACCTGGTACCAGTCTGATAACTTTATTATTATTTCTATAAACGTCTAATAATCCTCTGAACCCCCCCTAAGCTCTTCACTGTAATATTATCTTGCCTCAGGGAGCTCTACAACTCAACTTACAATTTCCTTTTCTTCCTTTCATAGAATCACAAAATCATTAAGGTTGGAAAAGCTCTCCAACATCATCAAGTCCGATGTTCAACCAAATACCCCCATGAGCACTAAACCACATCACAAAGTGCTCCTCTACTAATTTCTGGAACCCTTCCAGGGACAGTGACTCCACCATTGCCCTGGGCAGCCTGTGTCAGTGCTTGTCCACTCTTTCAGTGATGAAATATTTTCCTAACATCCAACCCGAACCTTCCCTGGAATGTGTTAGGCCGGGAAATGAGAAACCATCTCCCTATTCCCACATCACAAACTCACCAGGATATTTCATACTAAATTTATAATTTATACATCAAAAATTAAAAAATCCTGTTGAACAGTGGTGCTGTGGGCAGAGGGTAACTAGTGCTTCAGGTATCCACCTTCCCACCCTGCCCTTCCCTGGCATGTTTTATAAGCCGGTCTGGGGAAGCAACTGGAACTCAAAGTAACCTATTCCCTTTTCATTTCCCTTTTAACAAAAGCCTGAACCACCAAAGCTTGCTTCAAACAGCCCTGCTGCTGGAAGAAATGCTTGGAAAACTGCCCCTATCCCTGAGCTGCAGGTCCCTAAAGCACCAACAGGCTCAGTGCTGGAACTCTCAGCCTCTCCCAAGTTGTGCACACATTTAACTGGATGTGAAGAGAGTCAGATCCTGGTTAAGCAGCAGCTGATTTGATTTGTGGATGAACACCACACACACACACCTGGGCTCACAGGCACCAGCTGCTGCAGGGCTGGTGACGTGGCACTCGGGCTGTACCTGCTCGGGATCATCACGTCAGGTAATCAAGGGTGGCACTGAACTCCCCTGCTCGGTGTTACAGCCTCACACAGCCCAGGTTCTCCTTGTGTCACCCCAGTGTCCTAGAGCTGGAGGTCATGGTGACCACCCTCCCCAGGGCAGGACTGCACATGCTGCCAGTTTCATCACAGAATCCCAGGATGGGTCAGGCTGAAGGGACCCCAGTGGGTCACTGGTGCCACCTCCCTGCTCAGGCAGGGCCAGCCCAGAACACAGGGCACAGGATTGTGTCCAGAGGGCTCTGGAATATCCCCAGGGAGGAGACTCCAGCCCCTCCCTGGGCAGCCTGTTCAGAGCTGGGGCACTGCCCAGGGAAGAAGTTCTTCCTCCTGTCCAGCTGGAGCTTCCTGGGCATCAGTTCCTGCCCGTTCCTGCTGTGCCATTGCTGGGCCCCCCGAGCAGAGCCTGGGCCATCCTCTGCCCCCTCCCTGCAGCCCCTGACACACGGTGGGAGGTCCCCTCTCAGTGTCTGCTCTGGAGGCTGAACAGCCCCAGCTCCCTCAGCCTTTGCTGCTCAGGGAGATGCTCCAGTGCCCACAGCTCTGCAAAGTGCCAGAAGGAGCTCGTGCTCCAAACCTTTCCAGCAAGGAACCAGACAACCTTCAGAAAAATGGCAGCCTGAAGTCTGCAAAACTGCACACCAGGAATTCCCACTTTGTCTGAATAACTGGTGTGGAGATAGAAGAAAAAAGCCCATTCCAGAGCCAGCCTGGAATACAACACCCAAACCTCTTCCACCCAGCACAGGTGGAGCACACTGAGAAAGGAGGTTTCATTGCTCAACTTTCATTTTTATCTCAACAGCTGAACAACTCACATTTTATTTTATTTTCCCCTCTCTGTTCCTCCTCTCCAAGGCCTTTGATCAGGGAAAACATCCCTCTGAGGGCACACTACAGCACCCACTGAACTCCCAGCACATGCCTGGGACACATTCACCCACACATTTACTGACACTTCACCCACACATCAGGGGCAGAGGGGGCAGGTTTGCAGAGCTGTGGGAAAAGGGGGTTGGTTTCTGTCCTCCCAACACTCCCACTGGCAGCCTGAGTCCTCTCCCAGTGCTCAGCTTTGAGTCATAGAATGATGGGATGGTTTGGGTAGGAAGGGACCTTAAAGACCATCTTGTTCCACCCCCTGCCACGGGCAGGGACACCTTCCACTAGCCCAGGTTGCTCCAAGCCCTGTCCAGCCTGGCCTTGGACACTTCCAGGGATGGGGCAACCACAGCTTCTCTGGGCAACCTGTGCCAGGGCCTCCCCACCCTCACAGGGAACAATTTCTTCCTAATATCTTATCTAAACCTATTGTCTTCTAGCTTAAAAGCAAGAGAAAAGGTCATTTCCATAACTGGTTTGGTTTCCAAGAAGCAGAGCTTGGCTCCAGAAGCAGCCTGATGGAGACAGGTCTGATCCAACATCCTAAAATCCATGGGGCTGCAGATGGTAGTGTCCAACAGAAATCTCAGTTGCTTATAAATTAAGGATAGGCCCCACCTGTGGCATGAAATATCCATCTTGGAGCAAGGGGAACCTTTACAAATAACATTTACTTATGTTTAAGAAAAATACTTTAAAATAGAAAAAAAAAACCCCAAACCACTTTCAGTTTTATAGTATTTTCAATTCTTTTCACAAAGGGAGGTAAAACTGAAACCGAACATTTACTGGGTGCTGGAAGACCAAATCAAGCACATATGATGTTTCAAGAGCAGCCCAGTGAAATAATCAATAACCTCCAATTCAGGTTATTGACTTTTGCACACCCTTGCAGGCATGAGACTCCAGACGAAGGCATCAGAATCACCAAATTGTTCAATTTGCTCTCCTTCAGATATTTCACACTGACATTTTTTATGATGGTGTGTGGAAGCTTGTTCAAGAGAAGCTCTTGAAAGTCAAAGTGGACTTTTAACTCCCCAGATTCCCTCTTTTGCTTCACTTAGGGATCCAGGGCTGCTTTGTGCAAAGACTAAGAGAAATAGGAAATGCTCCCTTCTCTGTGTTTTGTCCTTTCTTACAATTTAAGGGGGCTTTAGGAAGAAAACCACCTTCTGCTCCTCCCTCTGTTTAATCATATCAGAATTACAAAAGATGACACATCTACAAATGACATTAAAATGGGTTGTCTTTGTGTGCCCCACATTTGCTCCCCCAAAACCCCATCTTGTCTTTTCATGAGCCTGTTTGGATAATATAATTCTGCACTCTCTTAACAGCCACAATAACAAGTTGTTTGGACCACTGTGAACCAGCAAGAGCTCATTAAGTCCTGGAGAATGTTTGCAGCTGTTTTAGCACGGGTGTGATTTGTTGTGACGCAGCAAAACTCCATCATTTCGCCAGGTTTAATGGGTAATAGATGTGCCCCAGCACAGGCTTCTTGCAAGGCTACAAGGAGCTTTCAGCAATAACCCTTGAGGATGTATTGGGCAAACTCATCTTGCAACATCTCCAAATCTGCAGAGAAAATGATGTGAACTATGGCAAATCACCGTGCTTCAGGGACGGTGCACCAGACTAGAAGATTAAAGTTCTGCTCCAGCTCCCTCAAGACACAGTTAGGTCAGTGCTTGGCCCTGTTCCTTTTCCAAGGATTTAGATGATGAGCTTTCCAGGGCAGGGGCTGATGTAAAACAAGAATAAACTCTTGCTTAAGTCCTCTCTGTATTCATTTCATGAGAATAATCATAAGGTTTAAAAAAAAAAAAAAGGTCAGACTCAAGCCTGGCAGAATGCCAGCTCTCTTCACCCTGGTTCAACAGATGCATTTGAGTAAGGAAACTTAAGATACAACAATTTATTTCCTTGCACTACTCCTTGTTGTGCATCTGCATGTTTGAGAAGCACCTCGCTGGGGTTTTTCCCCTTTTCAGAGAGGGAAGCCTTGAGCATTTGAAAATCATGTCCTGAGCTCACGTGCCTGGTTTTCCATGAGGCCCTGACAGCCACCAATACTTATAATCATATATAATCAAATATAATCCTTACAGAACATGCAGAGGGCTGAAACTGCACCGATCTCCAGTGCAACACAGAAAATACACAGCAAATCAGCTGGGCCTATTAAGACTTAGAAAGAAACTATTATGAGCTCCATTCAACAGATCAACCCAGTGTGGTGCAAATGGGGAGGATTTCTTTTAATTATCATCAGATAAGAGCTGTCAAATTGACTCTGAGGGAAGGAGGGAGAGCAGCACATGCAAATGGTTCTGGCTGCAGGTTGGGACCAACACTTGCTCCTCACCCTCCATGTCTGGAGGGATCCAACCCCTCCTGCTCCCGGGAGATGCCAAGCCTGCCATTTGCGTTGGAAGCTCTCCAGTGCTCACTTTGAGCTTCCTGGGGGTTTGTTTCTGACTAGCAGGGGAAAAAAAAAGGCAGTTTAACGTTTATCAGCTACACCAGTTTTACTGGAAACTGTTGAAAACGTTTAACAACTTGTCCTCGGGAGGAGGGAGGTGGTGCCACATGAGAACTTCAAGTGTTTTCTCTAAGTTACTCTTCTTCAAGCAAGGCTGAAAAATGAGCTCTAGATACAAAGTGAGTTTAGAGAGACAGAAGGTTTTAGGAGACACAAACCTCTGTGGCCCAGGAAGTCAGTACAGGAAGAGATGACAGAATCACAGAATAGTTTGGGTTGGAAGAGACCTGAAGACCATCCAGTCCCACCCCTGCCATGGGCAGGGACACCTTCCACTAGCCCAGGTTGATCCAAGTCCTGTCCAACCTGGCCTTGGACACTTCCAGGGATCCAGGGACAGCCACAGCTTCTCTGGGAAACCTGTGCCAGGGCCTCTCCACCCTGACAGGGAAGAATTTATTCCCAATATCCCATCTAACCCTGCCCTTTGGCAGTGGGAAGCCATTCCCCTTGTCCTGTTACTCCAGGCTCTTGTGAATAGTCTCTCTCCATCTTGTTTGTGGGGTCCCTGTGAGGGAGGACAACACTGACTGGGATTGGGGCTCACACATGACTCCAACAAAGCCCAGACAGAGTGAGGCAGGGGTAGAGACCTGCCCCTTCCTCTTCCACACGATTCCATCCCTGCTCTCCCTTCTTCCTTAATGAACAGTCACTCAGAACAGACCAATGGTCACATCACAACTTGTCCCTGGATTCAAAACCTTTCTCCTTCCCTCCTCCAGCTCCACACTCCACCAGGCTGCAGCTCCCCTCTCTGCAGTGCTCTGTTCATCGGTGCCATCGTGGCACAAACCTGCCAGGCACGTAGAACTTAATGATCTAATCCTCCCACTTTCACAAAGACCAGATTAGCTTTAAGTTAAATACTCTTGTTCCTTAAATTTCCTCCTTGTCAGGATGCCATGGGAAGCTCTTAATCTTACGAAAAAGGGCCTGAGGACATTCTGATGCTTCTGCATGAAGAGAGAAAGCAGTCCACAGTGCCAAGATAAAGCTGAGGTATTAAACTAATCCCCCAGGCTGGGGGTGTGCAGGCAGGAGGGGTGGCTGTGCAGGCAGGAGGGGTGGCTGTGCAGGCAGGAGGGGTGGCTGTGCAGGCAGGAGGGTGGCTGCTTCTCATCGATAGCCGCGGCTGGAACCGGGACCCTGCCGGGAGCATCCCCCGCTCCATGAACAGCACACCCAGCACACTCGGGCTCAGGATACACTTGTGCAACTCCTCAGCTGCAAAGAAATCCAATAAACCTGTGAATTAGCCCCAGAAGCCCAGGGGCTGATGAATCCAGCCAGCCTGCCCACACTTGCCCTGGGCCCTTTGCCGGCGCGGCCCAGGGCCAGTGGAGCAGCTCCACTGAGGGGACGCTGTGCAGGGAGAGAGGGAGCATCCCAAACCACCACACTGCTCCATGGCAACCAAGCCTGCAAGTGCTCTCCAGTTGGATGGTTGGAAAGGTGAATTTTCCCTTGCTAGGTGTGACACCAAAGGGTCTCTGGACTGGCAGCGCCCAACCCACCAGGAGCTCCTGCAGCCAAGCTTCCACCTCCTCACCAAGCTGCTTGGATTGAAGCCTGGGCTTAGACAACAGAAAGGAAAAATCTTCCTAAACTTGAAATAAAACAGCAGAGCCTTTGCCCCCAGGTAAAGACCAGAGCACATTTATGAAGCAACTAATCTTCTTTTCACCCTTCTCGTCCACAGGCTTCGAGAGACCACAGGTATTTTACCTAACACCATAAACCCCAGTGTGGCACCTCCAGCTTGGCTCACCACTCCTCACTGCTCCATGCAGCCAGCAACACACTGGAAGGGACTTAATTCCTGTACAACTTCCCGTGGGCAGCACAGCCTTCTGGAGACCCATCCCTGGATCACGGGAACCAGTGGGATCTGCTGGAGGAGGGAAGTTCACCTCACTCACTGCCCAGCAAACTGTGTCTGTATCAGCTGAAGACAACTCAAAGGCAAGTTTGCAAAAGCAGGCTAAATATCAGTGTATGATATCAAGCACTGGCTTCTACAGTTTCATATTTTTAAGATCAGATAAATAAGGAAAGAAAGGTTTTTCCCTGCACATCTCTTTATAGACTTTCCAACAGCTTACACACAAAACATTTAGACACTTTAATTTCCACTCTAATATGAATACTCTAACCCCAAATGAAACCTATTAAAAATTAAATTCTTATATTAAGTTTAAGATGCGTCTCTTTTCTCCCCAGGTCCCATTAAACACTCTCCCTACACACAGTTTAGAAGACAGAAGAGATCCTAGAGAATATTTACAAAGAGAACAAAACCCCCTGAGGGTTTTTTATGTTACTACAACATTAATCTATTTTAATCACACAACAGATTAAAACCAAACAACATTAAATGGTTCTGCAAAGTACCCAGTGAAAGTCTATCTTTATTGCACAAAAAAAAACTCAGGAAAAAATTAAAGTGCTTGGAAATAGGGTTATTATGTTGTTCCACAGAGACGGAGCACAGCAAAATCAAGACTGGGCCACAGAGCCCCTGGTGGGAAGAAGATCACAGAATCATGGAATACCAGCCTGGTTTGGGTTGGAAGGGACCTTAAAAATCATCTTGTTCCACCCCCTGCCATGGGCAGGGTCACCTTCCACTAGCCCAGGTTGCTCCAAGCCCTGTCCAACCTGGCCTTGGACACTTCCAGGGACCCAGGGGCAGCCACAGCTTCTCTGGGCAAACCATTCCAGGATTCTGTGATTACTTCAGCAATAGTTTCTACCATAAATCTTGGTAACTCTGACATCTTCTCTATTTCCCTCACGCCCTGTCCCAGCCCCTCCAGCCTGTTCTCACAGAGTGCCCTTTGCTGTGTGAGCATCTCCTCTGCCCACCTACAACCCCCACCCTCAGCTCTGTTTTGAGGGTATGGAGCCCAATGAGCAGAGCCTGTTCCTCAGAAGTTGCCTTGAGCAGGTGCTGTGAACAACAGCCCTGCTTTCCATCCCAAGCTCTAAGATTTTATTCAGTTTCAGTTTTTAACAGTTTCAGTGCAATGAACTAAAATATCTATTGACCTGACCACAGGTGATTTCCTTGAATAACCCCAGTTAATTTAGAGGCTTATGAGTAGTTCATTCTTCCAGTAGCCCCCATCTCAGAGTTGCTAACACAGAATCTCCTCTGCTGCTGCTGCTGCTCAGTGGCCTGGTTATCTCACCCTGATGCTCAAGGTTGTTTTTTCTCATCTTGAATAACCCAAATAATTGTGCTTCTGTAATTGAGTTTGTCATCTGACTGCCCAACAGGCTCTTGATGGAGAACTGCAGCATTCTCCAGGATGGGTTTTGCTGCATCCCAAATCAGATCCATACACTGCTGCAAAGCTGAGCCTTTCCAACAGTCACAAGCCAAAGTGTTCCACCACAGTTTTATAACCACCTTTGCCCAGCAGACATTGAATGGGAGCAGTTACATTGGAGCTTGAAATTATCTCAAGAAACTACAAAGAAAAATACCTGCTCTTGTTCAAAGCTGTTAGATTTACTGAAATGAGTGGAAGCATTTCACAGGGATGCTTGGATAATATGGGGTGCTCTAGGCAGCCCTTTTATCTCTACATGTACCAACTGAGCTGCCAAAGCAAACCAAAACCTTCAAGGGAATGATTTGTGTGATTACTCCAGATTTACCAGGAGATATAGGTGGGAGTAGCTGTGGTGAACTTGTTTCTGGCAGCATCACTACTGCTGTGGAGGGATAAAATCCAGGGGATTCTGCACAACAGTTGCATTAAAACCTTCCACTTTGTTTACTCAGTGGATTTACTACCAATGTGGTGCAATCCCTGACAGGATTTGATTACTTCATCTCAACATTCTTTCTTCCCAAACCAGCTGCTGCAATGGATAATCCATATTCAACCGTGGAGGACAAAGAGGAGGAATGAACAAACCCTGATCCCCTTCTTCTACTGTTTGGGTCTCTCTTTCTAGGCTAAGAGCCAGTGAAGGAGGGCTGCTGACCTCCTCTGAGGGCAGGACATGCACTGCAATCCCACTTCCCTGCCAGTGATCAGGGAGAGGGATCCACTTCCCTCACTCTCCAGGACTAAGCACTGAAACAGGGATCAAGCAGATTCTACTAAGGCAAGTCAGAACATCTCCAGCACACAGAGATGCCTGGAAATGTTTTCATGGCAGAGACATTGTGCCTCTTCTAGCTGGCACAGTGTGCTGCTCCCACAGGGCACCCTGGGTGACACTAGAGAGACAGCCCAGGACCTGCTGGGCTGGAGGAGTGACCAGGCTTTGGGAGGAGGAACAAACCCGTTGTGGCCACAGCAGCAACACACAGGAACAGTCCATGGGACATATGGACAGAACATAAAGGATGCCACCCATGGCACAAGGACTCCACTTACCTAGTGGCAAAAATGCACAAGGTATAAAACTATGCCTAGGTGAGATCACAGAATCATAGAATGGTTTGGGTTGGAAGGGACCTTAAAGCTCCTCTCCTTCAAGCCCCTGCCACAAGGCCTCCCCACCCTCACAGGGAAGAATTTCTTCCCATTTAACCCTGCCCTCTGTCAGTTTGAAGCCATTCCCCCTTGTCCTGTCACTCCAGGCCACTGTAAATAGTCTCTCTCCATCTTTCTTGTAGGTTCCCTTCAGGAGGAGGCAATTAGGAGATGTTTCACTGCTCCTCACAGCTTCACAAAACTTTCTAGTATTTCCAGTCTCAAGTAAAAAGCCCCCCACAAGTCAGTGTCCACCCTCCCAGGAACCTGCTTTAAAAGCCATGGCATGTATACCCAGGGCTTTCTTATTTGCATTGCAATTTTTAGCCTCATGAAAGGGAATGCCTTTCACATAATGATATTACTTAAGGATCTAAGATAACAACAAAAAAAAGATGATGAGCCCTGTGATAAAATCATGAAAGGCAGTAATGCTGCACCTTATTACCACTCCATGGTAATTCAGCTTCTCTTAGTAGTGGTAAGGGCCTCTCCAAGAGCAGACAAGAGCCTGTTGTTGAGCTCTGCTAATGATGCAGAAGGTGTAACTCTAATGCAGCCGAGGTGCCAACTCCTTCCAGGGCCACACACTGGGCAGGTAACATTATCCTCTCCATTTTACAAGTTTTCACAGTAAAAAGTCACGTCTCAAAATCATATGAAATCACATTTTGAATGAACTTTAAGCTGCCTAAGTAACCATAAACTCAGGGAAGGCAGAAATAATGTGCCTATGCCATGGTGAATGGATGGTGTAAATGTACATCAGATGTTGGGGAAGTGCAGCCATTCAGTGGGTGAATCACTGCAGGGTTTTTCTGCCTCAGACTGCAGGCACTGTACCCACAACTGGTTTTGAACCAGCTGCTACACTGAGAAGACATCAGCTTTAAAAGATAACAGCAAATCCTTAAGGACAATAAATGCTCAGCTTCATGCTTATCCAAGCTCCTGGAGTGCCTCCTTTGGATCATTAAGATTGCAAAAGACCTCAAAGATCATTAAAAAATAAAGAGTGACTTTCAAAACATGCCCGGACATCCCTTCTCTCCCACCACAGTGTGAGAACAGGGTCTGCTTCCCATCTGGTCTCAATCATTCAAAATGTCAGACTGTCCACCCAATGGGTTGTGCAGCTCCAAAGGATCCCCCAACACCACCTGTGAGTGTGCATTAAATACTGACTCCAAAGGAAAAGCACCACTGTCTGCAGCATCAACAGAAGGGTGAGATCCCAGTAGCTCTCACAGCCAAAGGGTTTGAGGCAAAGTGTGAAGAAACTTCTTAATATTTCTACTCCCAAAATAATCCTGGGTATCTGTCCTGGAACTCCAATTTTGGATATCAGGAATGACAACAGAACAGCTTGTTCAAGTAAAAGCTGTTCATAAAGGAGTATTTCACCTAAATAGGGGTAATGATTTGTTATTATTGGTTGTAAGATCTGATACACAAGAAACACAGAAAAGAAAATTAGAATAAGAAAAGAATGATTTCTCCATCTGTGCTATTTTCTTGAAATTAAATCTTTCAGGGGTTCTTCTGTACCCTGATGCCAGCCTTTTCCCATACCAGTTTGCAGTCAGGAATCACTAAGCCTGGGAGTTTGGGCTGGTCTATCCTGTCCAGCCTCCTCTTTGCTAAACAGCTCCTGTCCCAGAAAAATTAATAAAATTACTCACTAAATGAATTTTATTTTAAAAGGAAGAACACACTAACTCTTAGACCTTAAATTCCAATACAGCCAACTAAATTAAAACAAAGTATGCACTGCCAAATGTTTTTGTTAATAAGACTAAAAACACTCTAGAAATTGAACATCAGTTAATCTCCCAGCTAAGAATATCACGTAGAGAAGACAAGAGGATCTGCCAGTAATCTTAAAATGAAGCCTGATAAGGCAAAAAAGTAATTCACAGCAGCTTGTGATCACTTAATGTTCTCGTTGCTGGTTAATCCATCCAGCATCAAGGGGTGCTCACTGATCCAGGGTCACAGGGCTTTTCCAAAATAATCCCCAGGAAGAAATAGTCCAAAAGGGTTATATTTAACACCGTATCACTTTCAGGCTAAAAAAGTGCTTTCAGCTACTTAATCCCTTTCTGAAAGAGGTGGCCTCGTGTTTGGTAATCAGCGACTGCTTCTGTTGTGTTGTTGCCATAACAGATGAGAGGAGCTTTGAGCGCTGCCCTTTCTCCTCTGCCCTGACACATCTCAGGTTGTTAATCCTGCCCTGGGATCAGACTCGGCCCATCTTTCATCTCCCCCCCCCCCGGGGGAGCAGCCGAGGCTCCTCAGGGGGATGGGTCACAGAGAGCTCTGCTTTGGGAAGGGGCTGGCACAGGGAAAAGGTGATGGTTGGGCTTGGGATCCTGACAGCTGGTGCATATTCATGGCCACATGGGTGAAGATGCAGGAGAGAATCCCTTCTCCCAGCTCCTTGGACAGCTCAGCATCTGAGCAACCAGAGCTGCCAGGAGAAAGGCTCTGGGTCAGAGCAGCAGAGACACTGCCATGGAAGGAGAGGGAAATGAGAAAGATCAGGAATGTGAACAGTTATGAGCCTTAACAACACCCTCCTGGAGGAGGAGGAGGAGGATTTAGCTCTATGAGTCAGCAGTGCCCTGGCAGCCAGGAGGGCCAACCCTGTCCAGGGGGTACCAGGG